TCTATCTCTCTCCCTTCCTCTCTGTACAAAATCAATAAAATATATTAAAAAAAAAAAAAAAAAAAAAAGGCACCACCTAGCCCTGACCGGTTTGGCTCAGTGGATAGAGCGTCGGCCTTCGAACTCAAGGGTCCCAGGTTGGATTCCAGTCAAGGACATGTACCTTGGTTGCGAGCACCCTCCAGTGGGGGGTGTGCAGGAGGCGGCTGATCCATGTTTCTCTTTCATCAATGTTTCTGACTATCCCTCTCCCTTTTTCTTTGTAATCAATAAAATATATTTTTTAAAAATAAAAATAAAAAGGCACCAGCTGGCCTGGAGCAGAAGATTGGAAAGAAGATGAGAGCTGGACCACCCCCACCCCAGAGGAGCTTCCACCAGGAATAATTGTGGGGGTGCACCAACCCCCCGCCCCCCAAGCTCTGGGCATCTCCGTGTGGAAAGAGACAGAATTGTTGTCAATTTTGTTTCTTTTGTTTGTTTTTTTAAGAGAAGCTACTTTTTAAAAAATATGTTTTTATTGATTTCAGAAAGAGAGAGAGAGAGAAGCATTGATGAGAGAGAATCGTTGATCAGGCTGCCTCCTGCACACCCCCCACCAGGGAATGAGCCAGCAACTCGGGCGTGTGTCCTGACCCGGAATGGAACTGGAACCTCCTGGTTCATGGGTCGGCACTCGACCGCTGAGCCACCCCAGCCGGGCTAATTCTGTGCCTCTAAAACAGCAGCCGTTCCTTACGGTGCACATGACCCCTCTGCAGCTCTCATTTGTCTGCGTTTGCAAAGATCCCCCGCGCCTTGGCGACGGTGCACTGCGGAGGTTACCGCCGCCTGCGCTGAATCGCAGGAACTCCTCCTTGCCAAAATTATTCCAGGAACAAAATCACAAAAGTCGCAGGACATTTGTTTTGTTTTGTTGTTTGTGGCGAGATGGGCTGCCGGAAAGGACAGCGGCCTGCGTTGGGAGCACTTCCACTCCGTGACCACCGACCCAGCAGGCCGCGGGGCAAAGCACGTCAGAGAAACGGAATCACGTTCCGTCCAGGAGGCGGGGAATGGTGAAAAGCCATAATGCCTACTGCTGGTGAAGACGTAAAGAAAAGGGCATTTGCCCTGACCGGTTTGGCTCAGTAGATAGAGTGTCGGCTGAGGGTCCCAGGTTCGATTCCCGTCAAGGGCATGTACCTTGGTTGGGGGCACGTCCCTAGTAAGGGGTGTGCAGGAGGCAGCTGGTCAATGTGTCTCTCTCATCGATGTTTCTGGCTCTCTGTCCCTCTCCCTTTCTCTCTGTGAAAAATCAATAAAATATGTTTTTAAAAAAAAAAGAAAAGAAAAGGACATTTTCCTACAGGAATTAAAATATCACCATAGTCCTTCTGGAAATTAGTGGGACGAGAAATATAAATATATTATTATTGATTTGAGAGAGGAAGGGAAAGGGAGAGAGAAACATCAGTGATGAGAATCACTGATTGGCTGCCTCCTGCACACCCCCTACTGGGGAATCGAGCCCGCAACCCGGACATGTGCCCTTGACCGGAAACCAGCCTGGGACTTTCAGTCTGCTCTATCCTCTGAGCCAAACAGGCCAGCGCAGTGTGGCGATAGTTAATCAAAATAAAAATGCACCAACCCTTTAACTCAGTTACCCTATTCCTGAGGTCTTGTTTACGAACTATAAAAACTCCAGGTGAAAAAAAAAAAAAAAAAAAGCAAATGTCAGGGACATAAAAACAACCTAAAATTGTGATCTAGAATCTCAGCTTGTCCCCGCCCCTCCCCCACCTGGATTCCCTCCCAGCCCAACCCCTGGGACCCGGGACAGGGCGGGGGGGGGGGGGGGGGGTGTGAGTCATGAGGAGCCGGGGCTGAACACACGCTTCGGAAGGCCCGTCTGGAGGGACAAAGGAGCGATACTTCCTGGATGCGGAAACATGGGTGAGAGAGACAGCTGCTTCAGGAAACACTGGGCTGCCCCCGCCGGCCCTGCCAAGCCAGGGCAGGGGGTGAGCCCGGCCAGACAGACCGTCCGGAGGCTCCAAGGAAGCGGGACCTCCGTGACCCTGAGTCTCCTGCCTGAGCAGCCTCAAGTGATGGCCCGCTGACTCTAGCCAGTCCCAGCCACCACCCACCATCCGAACTGTGGGTTCTGGAGCCAGGTATCCCCGATTCAAATTTCGGCTCAGTCCCTCTCGGCCTCCACTCTCTCCTCTGAGAAATGAGTGCCATACGATCATCCTAAACTCTCCGGACCCCTGGGTGCAGGCCTGCGACGCTTAGCTGGTCTCTGCCATTCAGAGCATCCCGGGTGCCTTCCCTCTGGCCGGTCCCCATACTCATCCCCGGCTCCGTCCTCCAGCACCTGGACCTCAGCCTCTGCCTCCGCTATGGCCCCCGGGCTGGTCCAGAGAGATCTTTCCATCGTGGGGTCTGACCACATCCCTCTCCTTGCACCCTCCATGGCTTTCCATTCCGCAAGCCCCAAGTCCGGTCCCCCAGCTCCCCCGTGCCCCTGCCCCCTTGTGCAATGAGCCCTGGCCTCCAGCTGCCCTGCACATCTAATTCTCTGTGCAGACTCACTGGCGCTTTGTTGCAATGTGTGCTGTACCCTCGGGCTGGAAGGCCTTTTCTCTCCTGACTGATTCTGTTTCCTCCAAGGCCCAGCCCGAGGTTCCGCCTCCAGGCAGCCCTCCTGGATGCCCCGGTGCAGCCCTCCCTCCTCCTGGGGCCGCCCCAGCCCACCCCTCACTCTTTCTGGCTCTGATCCTGCAGCGCTGACTCACCCAAGCTCGGGGCTCTCTGGGGAGGGGCAGGGACGGAGTGCCAGCCGGGAGCAGTTGGCAGACCCCCTCCCTGACCCTGTGGTCCAGCCACCGGGTGAGGTTCTGACTCTTTGGGGATTTCCTGTGACCTCTATAAATAACCCCCACGGCTGCTTCCCACAAACCACCTCACCCTTCTTGGAAAAAAAGGGACGGTAGCCAAGGACCTTGGGCCAGCCCTGTGCCAGGGCCTAGGGGGAGGCAGGCGGGGGCTCGGGCATCCTGCCCCGGGCCTCTCCCGCCCCCCCTGAACCACCCTCACCCTTCCTGGGAGCCTGCAGACCCTCCCCACTCGTGGCATCTGGACGAGTACCCCCCTGGACCTATGTTATCACTTTTTTTCTCTGGGCATCAATTGCTTTTCTGAAAAATGGGCGTACTAGTAATGTCCATGGACGCAGCTCTCAGTAACCCTTTCCCTCCAGAAGCACCCCACTCAGGGGCGATCCTGGCTGCTGAATAAGCAAAGAAATCCATCAATAGCCGAAACCGGTTTGGCTCAGTGGATAGAGCATCGGCCTGCGGACTGAAAGGTCCCAGGTTGGATTCCGGTCAAGGGCATGTATCTTGGTTGCGGGCACATCCCCAGTGTGGGGTGTGCAAGAGGCAGCTGATTGATGATTCTCTCTCATCAATATTTCTTTTTTTTTCTTTTTTTTTTAATTGATTTTTTACACAGAGGAAGGGAGAGGGACAGAGAGTTAGAAACATTGATGAGAGAGAAACATCAATCAGCTGCCTCCTGAACACTCCCCACCAGGGATGTGCCCGCAACCAAGGTTCATGCCCTTGACCAGAATCGAACCCGGGACCCCTCAGTCCACAGGCCAACGCTCTATCCACTGAGCCAAACCGGTTTCGGCTCTCATCAATGTTTCTAACTCTCTATCCCTCTCTCTTCCTCTCTGTCAAAAAACAATAAAATATATATTTTTTTAAAAAGAAATCCATCAATAGCGACATATTGCTATAAAGTCGGTGAGGACACGGGGCTGGGTGGTGGGAGCCTCCTAAAGACCCTCTCCTACCGACTGTGGCCGCCTGCCAGCCTCTGGCCGCCTGCCCCCCGGAAGCTGAGCCATGTGTCTTCAGCTCCCGGAGGGGGTCTTCTTCTGATTCTGGAGAAGATCCTGACCCTGTTTGAGACTCAGTTCCCGCCTCCTGGCAGGGAGAGTTGATATTTGTAAACTGCCGGAGGGGTGTAGAGGCCTGAATCCTAGAACCTTAGAAGATGGCCAGGCGCCTCCTTGTTAGAGCAAGGCGCCCTCTGCTGGTTGGTCAGCACCATAGCAGGCCCTCCGAAAGTCCCGAATAAAATGCCTCCCTCTAGGGCAGGTGTCGGCAATCTACGGCTCCAGAGCCGCATGCGGCTCCTTTGAAGCTTTACCGCGGCTCCGACAACTTGCAAGCCTGTGTGAAAATGAAGGTAACGTCTTACAGCCCTGATGTGCTGACACTGTGCACTGAGGTTCAGGAGCAAAAATCCCATTAACCAGGTAAATTAAATATTTTAATTAGCTATTAATTTGCAAAAATATATTTTACATTGTTAAGTGAAAAAGTCCTTTTTTTCTTCAGATTGACAGCTAACTGCACGATCCGGTATATAGCATTAAAGTAAGAAACAATATATGCAGTGTTATATTTGTTTTAAATGTCGCAATGGTTTTGTGGCTCCCAGGGTGTTTTTTTTCCTTCGGAAACGGGTCCAAGTGGCTCTTTATGTCGTAAAGGTCCAGACCCCTGCTCTTCCTGGAACTCACGCCACAGGTCCCTAACCAGGTCACAGCCCAGGTCACACAGCAGCCAGGAGACCTCACTGGAAGGAGCTGGATCTCCAACAAGGGGCGAGGTGATGCTTGCGTGCTCTGTCCGCCTTCCCAGCACCCTGCACTCCGTTGCACACCGAAGGCCCACAGTAACTCTGACTCGCACAGACCTCTGTGCAAATCCCAAAGCCGCACCTCCGCCACCACCTACTATTCCAAGCCGGTTTCCTCATCCTCAGAACGGCCCTGCATTGTGCTGTTATGAAGACCCAGTAAAATATGTGTACAATTCTAGACCATAGAGGGTTATTGGTAAATACTCACTAAGTGAGCAAAGGAATCAGTCAATCAATCAATCAATCAATCGACAGAGACGAATAATCTTGGAAAGGAAGCAGGGCCCCCAGGATTTTGCAAGTCACTTTTAAGAGACAAAGTCTCAAGATGAATATTGAAAAAGGAATGACAACCTGCAGAGCAATAAACACACAGTGTTTATGTAGAATATACAAGATAAAATATGTTTTACAGGTGCATTCACAAGTATACAAACACTCAAAGAAAGTTCTAGAAGGACACAGGTTATGCTGTGACACCAGCGGCAGCGGTGGTGGTGAGTTTTCCACGTTTCCGGATCACCTGAGATTTTTTCCTTTGGTTTGTTACAAAGTACATTAACACTATGAAAAAAAGACCCCTGAGACTCTAACTCCCTCCCAACCCTCACTGCTGCTCCCACAGGCTAGGTGCCCAGTGGGACCTCTACTCAGCCCCACTCGAGGGCCTGAACCCCAGCAAGTCCCCGTGGGGGAATCTGACCAGCGAGAGCGTGGTCACCACCAGCCACAGGGAGCTCACTCATGTTCTGGGTCAAGTTCTTCCCCAAGGAAGTGAAAACCTGGCTTGGCCTAAGCCCATGGTCGGCAAACTGCGGCTCGAGAGCCACAGGCGGCTCTTTGGCCCCTGGAGTGTGGCTCTTCCACAAAATACCACAGCTTGGGCGAGTCTATTTTGAAGAAGTGGCGTTAGAAGAAGTTTAAGTTTAAAAAATTTGGCTCTCCCAAGAAATTCCAATCGGAAATTTCTCAATGAGTCAACAGAACCAAACACTGTTGGCATTTGGCTCTGTTGACTAACGAGTTTGCCGGCCGCTGGCCTCAGCCGTTCCCAGACGTCGCGAGGCTCCCGGTGTCCCCCCAGCCTGGCCCGAGCCGCAGCGGCCCCTCATTTGCCCACGCAGAAGTCCCGGAAGATGATGTCCAGGACCTCCTCGGTGCCCCCTCCTCCGTGCAGGCGGGCCAGGTGTCCGCGGGCGACGCGCAGCGCCTCGGCCGCCAGGGCCACATCGGGGGCGTGCCTGTAGCTTCCGAGGGCGTCCAGGCAAGCCTGGAGGTGGTGCTGGTGCCTGGCCCGCGTCAGAAGTGGTGGGCCAGTGGACGGGTTCCCACACCTGCGAGCGACAAAGAACATGGCCTCCCTCAGCTTTATAGTGGGGGGGAGCATGCTCATTCTGCAGAGACAGAAACGGAGGCTGCAGGCAGGCGCGTGCCCAGAGCCGAGGCTCAGCCCGCACTGGAATGTGGGCAGAGGCTGTGGGGTGGGCAAGGCGAGGCTCACACTGCAGCCAGCTCCTTCCTCAGCGCCTCCAGGAGGCCATCCAGCCCCGCCCCGGTCAGGCAGGACAGCAGCAGGTGCGGGGGCAGTTCAGGGCTGAGGTCCGGACCCCCGGGGGGCAATAGGTCCGACTTGTTCAGCACCAGCAGGAGGCGCTGGCCGTTCCCGTTGGGGCTCCGGGCTATGGCGGGGGTGACAACCGTGTCCAGGAAGTCGCAGCTGGATGGAGAGGCCAGGTCGGAGGCGTCCAGCACAGCCAGGATGAGGTCCGCCTGCTCCAGCCTGGAGGAGCAGGGAGAACCCGCTGAGAAGGGAGCCCAGAGCAGAGCGGTTTCAGGAACTGGGCCGAGTGTGGGGGCGGGACAGAGCATTGGGGACAGGGATGGAGCTGAGTGTCAGGGGTGAGACAGAACATGCGGGCAGAGGCAAAAATCGAAAGGCTGCTCTCCCCAAATCACAGAGTTCCTGGTTAAACTTCTGATTCAAAAAGAAGAATAAGCCGAAGCCAGTTTGGCTTAGTGGATAGAGCTTCGGCCTGCGAACTGAAAGGTCCCAGGTTAGATTCTGGTCAAGGGCATGTGCTTGGTTGCGGGCACATCCCTTGTAGGGGGTGTGCAAGAGGAGGTGATCGATTATTCTCTCTTATCGATGTTTCTAACTCTCTATCCCTCTCTCTCCCTCTCTGTAAAAAATCAATGAAATGTATTTAGAAGAAGAAGGAGAAGAAGGAGAAGAAGAAGAAGGAGAAGGAGAAGGAGAAGAAGAAGAAGGAGAAGGAGAAGGAGAAGGAGAAGGAGAAGGAGAAGAAGAAGAAGAAGAAGAAGAAGAAGAAGGAGAAGAAGAAGAAGAAGAAGAGGAAGAGCAAGGAAAGGAAGAGCCACATTTCCCTCTCCCACCACCCTGTCTGCCCACCCACCTCTCTCGGGCGCGCCGCACACCCTCCTGCTCCACCGGCCCCTGGCCCTCCCGCAGCCCTGCCGTGTCGCTCAGGAGCGCTGGGAACCCGGCCAGGTCCACGGGGGTCTCCAGCACGTCCCGGGTGGTGCCCGGCTCCGGCGACACGATGGACACCGGCTTCCGGCCTGGGGAGGGGAAGGGGGTCAGAGAAAAGGGCCGAAGTCCGTGAAGACAAGGGAGCCCCTCTCCCAAGCTCCAGTCCCTGGCAGGCGAGAGCTGTTATCCTCCCGGCCCGGCCCCGCCCCTGCCCACCCCCACGCACTGAGCAGGTTTACTAGGCTGCTCTTGCCCGCGTTGGGGGGTCCCGTGACCACCACGTGCGCCCCGGAGCGCAGCCTCTGCCCGCGCCTGGCATCTCGAAGGTGTGTGTCCAGGGCCACTGCCAGCTCTCGCACTTGGCTGTCGGCTGTGGAGGAAAGAAAAGCCGCGAGGAGGGGGTGAGGGGGCTTCTAGGGACTGCAATGCTGGGTGTCCCCACCCGTGACCCCCAGGCAAACACACCTTGCTCCAGGACGCCCTCCTCCAGGTTGTCATCCTCCCCAAAGTCGATATAGGCCTCCACGTGGGCCAGAGCCTGGGGGAGGGGAGGTGTGCGGTGTCACCACCCAGGAACCTAACCCCCAGCCGTCCGTCTGTCCCCACCCCCAATTTGCCCAGGTCCAGCCTGACTTAGGGGGTCAGATCGGAGGTTTATGGACCAGAAGCTCTCCTCCAGGGGATGGGCAGATGGGGATCTCTGAGGCAGAGAAGGGGCAGACGGGGACTTGCCTTCGTGAGCGTCTCTGCCCAGCCACGGCAGAGCTGGCCCAGCTCCCCGTCCAGCTGCCTCAGGGCCTGCCGCCGCTGTGCCTCGGTTTCTGCGTGGATCAGGTCCGCCAGCCCCTCCACCTCAGTCAGGCTCAGCTTCCCGTGGGCGAAGGCCCGCCTGGTGAACTCGCCCGCCTCCGCAGGCCGCAGCCCTGGCACCCTGCCTGCGGGATGGTCGCAGGTGCTGAGACCCTGGCCGCCCACCCAGGCCCACTGGCAGGGCCAGACCTCGGACCCCAGGCTGAAGACTCACCCAGGGCCTGCAGGACGCCACTCACCACGGCCGGGCCTCCATGCACGTGGAACTCCGCACAGTCCTCACCCGTGAAACTGTGGGGACCTAGTGTGGGGAGGAGGGGAGGGCATATATATAGCCTGCGGTGGTTTACTGGGTCCTGGGAGCTACGGAAGGCTGGGGGTCCGAGGACCCTCACCTGGGAACCAGAGCACCAAGGCGCGGTCCAGCGGCTCCCCGGAGCGCGGGTCGGTGAGCAGGCGCAGGCTGGCGCTGCGGGCGCGCGGCAGCTCCCGGGGCGCAGTCAAGCTCCGGAGGGCGTGCCCGCTGGCAGGACCGCTGGTCCGGATCACCGCGATGCCACAGCGGCCTTGGCCGGAGCTCAGAGCGAAAATGGTGGCCCCGGACCCGGGAGCCCCGGCACCGCTGCTCTGGCGCACGCACGGTCTGGGAAAAGGGAGAGGAGAGTCAGTGCATCGCGTAGGCAGGCTCTGCCGCAGGGCAGGAGGCTGGGTCGAGGGTTTGACAGCGGAGAAATGCCCCAAGTGGAAGCAGGCTCTGCGGCTCGGGGGGTGGAGGTGGGGAGCCCCGAGGGCCTGAGGCCAGAGGGTGACGGACTGAGGACCCTGAGGTCAGAGGGTGACCGGATTGAGGACCCTGAGGCCAGGTGACTGCGGCAGGGGGCGGAGTAGGTTGGGGCTTGGTAAGGTGACTAGATCGTCCCGCTTTTGGCGGGACAGTCCAGATTTCTAACAATTTTTTCCGGGTCCCGCGGCGTTTTAAAAAGTCCCGATTTTTGCAAAAAATCTTTCCAAAAATCGGGGCTCAGAGGTTGGCTCTGCCGCAGGGAACGGAGCCCCCAAGCCCCATCCACGGAGAGGATTTACAGCCCAAGCAATGCCCCAGAAGACACACCGCTTCCCCCGGTCATCCCACCTGCAAGGCCCACGCGCCGCCCGGGCTGCCAGGGTCCAGAGCCCCCGCCACATGGATTCCCCGCGGCGACCAGCCGGCCAGCCCGGCCCGGAGGTGGCGAGTCCCCGAAGGAGGCCCCGCCCACTCCGCGGCGCGAGGGGAAAGCGCTCAAGGATTCGCAGCTCCCATTGGGCCCCTGAATAGACACACCGTCCAACCCACCGAGGATCTGCGTTCCTATTGGCTGGTGCCTGGCAAAGAGGCAGGGCCTTCACGTGGGGTTGCAGCGAAATCGTTTCCCCGGGCAACACTAGACAGGATTTTTAAGATCCTAGAGCTTGCGGGCATCCGAAACACCGGAAATGCGGGGTGGGAATTAGAGAGGGGAGAGTTCGAGTCCAGTTTCTCGATCAAGCTACTCAGTAGCATGATCATTTCTGAGGCCCAGGGGGATAGTTCCGGCGCAGGGCAAACCTTCTGGGAAGATGCCCATTTGCTTTCCCGGGGCTCTCCAGGTTCGCATCCCTTCCCAGTTTTCTCTCCCGCCGCTCCCTCGGCCTCCAATATCCTTCCTCATTTGACAAATGCATTCTCGGGGCCTAGCTCCAAGGTCGCCTCCTGGAATCCCCCCAGCACAGCCCTCTCTCCCCACTGGCCAGGCCTGCTCCTGCAGAGCTGAAGGTCGTCTGCCTCTGGACCCCCGCCCCCTCTCCCCCATCGAAAGCCAGAAACGTGAGTCTCGCGATTACTTTCAGGTTAACCTAGAACGTGGGATCGAAGCAGAATAAAGAGCTGATGGTGGCATTCCTGGCACTGGATGGGCGGGGTCTCGGGGACGCTTTCTCATGGCCAATTCTTCGGTTCTTGGATGGAGCGGGCGGGCAGAGCACCTGCATCTGGGAAAGAATCGGTCGGAAAGGCTAGGGTTCTCTTTTCTCCCACGCCCCGCCCCGCCCAACTTTTAACTTTGTAGGAAAGGGACTAACAATGCATTCGCTGTCTCTGAGTTGCTCCATCCGTCACACACGTATACATCAAGCGTCTACTGTGTGCATTCTGAGAACCGGAACAGGCACCTGCCCTCGCTGGGCTCTAAGAGAGAGATGGGCAGGAGTCCGGGTGTCAGACAATACAAGACGCCCAGTGAAATGTGAATTTCAGATAAACAATGAATAATGTTGTGTCCTGTGTAATATTTGGGACGTACTAAAGATTTATTCGTTTATCTGAAATCCACGTTTGTAAAAAGGAATACAAATTGCTCTGGCCTGGTAAACTCAGTTGGTTGGAGCCCTGCCCCATAGACGGAGGTTGTGGGTTTTATCCCTGGTCAGCGCATATTCAGGAAGCCAGCAATGAATGCATAAGTGAGTGGAACAGCAAACGGATGCTCCTTCCTCTCTCTCTCTCTCATCAATTTTATTTTTTTAAAGTAATGTAAATGGACTCACTTTAAAATGGAGCAGAAAAAAAGAAACAAAAATTAAAAAAATTTTTAAACTAAAACAAACAAAAAGACAAAAGCCTGGCTGGTGTTGCTCAGTGGCTGAGTGTTAACCTATGAACCAGGAGGTCGCGGTTTGATTTCGGTCAGGGCACGTCCCGGGGGTGGTGGTTGGATTCCCGTAGAGGGCAGGCAGGAGACAGGAGAGAGGAGATAGCAGATGGATGATTCTCTCTTATCACTGATGTTTCTCTCCCTTTCCCTTCCTCTCTGAAATCAATTAATATATATATATATATATATATATATATATATATATATATATATATATATTTATTTATTTTTAAGTGGGGGAAAAATGGAGCAGAAGCTGCCATCCCAAAGGAACTGCTTCGCATGTCTTATGCCTCAAACCTTTAGAATGTTAAAAAATGGCAAGACAATCTTTGGACTGGGTCTAAGCAAACTTATTTTCTGAAGAACTATTTGCAAAGATAAAGAAAAAGGTATGACTACTGGACTGAAATTTTACAACATTGTTTAGAGTTTACATCACTGTTAGCAGCACCAATTGAAACGCCTTCCTGCTGTGGATGCAATTGTTTGCCTCCTCTTTCTCAATACTCATTGCCTTTGTTTCCTAATTGCAACATTCGGACTTCTGCCCTCATCAGCCCATCCCAAATAGCTATTCTTATTGATCTCAAATAAATGCTTTTTGCTTCTCACTTTGAAAGGCCTTTTATTTTTTAGAATAAACAATAACTGGGAGGACGGTGTTTTTATTTGCTATACTGGCAACTCGATCCAGTCCTTCCTGAGACAGTTGCATCCCGGTGGATGACCTGGGTGGATGGAAGGAAGAGGGGGTGAGGGCGTCCTGGGCAGTGTTCTAGGGCAGGGCTGAGGGCTGCGACAGGACCTGCTGTAATTATTCACATTCCTGCTGCGGCAGTTGACGTTATTGTTACCGGCATCTCCCCAGACCAGGCCTCCCCCGCTTAATGTATTGTTGTTCTATAGTCAAACCACTCCCATCTCAGATTCCAAACGCGCCTCTTCAGATGGGGAGACTCAGGAGGAGAATCCGGAGCGGGCGGGGACGAGACCCAGAATCTGGAGCGGGCGGGGACTGCACCTTCTGTGCGGTGCGGGCGGGGACGAGCACCAGAACGCGAGGCGGGCGGGCGAGAACGGAACCTAAAAAACAACGAGGGCGGAATCGAGAATCCGAGAGCGACGTGCGCGGGACCGAGCCGGAGGGGCCGGGTTCGGCGCGGGCGGGGACGAGAAGCAGCGTTCGTCCGGGCACGCGGAGACGCCGCCGGCGCGGGCGGGCGGGCGCGGCCTTTGTCTCCTCCTCCGGGGCGCTCCGGAGCGGCGCCGGCCCCATGTGCCCGCGGACCCCCGGCGCCCCGGCAGGCTGCGGCCGCTGACCTGCCCTGCCCTGCGCCGCCCGCGCCATGGCCGAAGCTACTACCCCTGGCCCCGGGGGGACGTCCCTGGAGGGCGAGCGCGGCAAGAGGCCCCCGCCAGAGGGCGAGCCTGCAGCCCCGGCGGCCGGAGTTCTGGGTAAGGTGTCCTGGGTGCAGGTGCCGGGGCTGCGCGCGGCGGCGGGACCCGGAGGGGAATCGGGGTCAGCTGTCTCCGGTCCGGAGTTCGGTCCAGGGGCCGGCTCCTCCGGGCACTGCGGCTGCCGCGGGGCGGGCGCGACCAGAACCGGGCAGCGGGCGGGGGTCCCGGCGCAGAGCCCCGGACACGCCCCTCCCGGAGCCCAGACCGCAGGCTGAGGCCCGTCCCCCGCCCCTGGGGCTACCGATTGGGGCCAGGCAGGACTGCGCTGGAGAGAGTCCCTCTCCGCAGAGGGGATAGAATCCTACAGTTCTGGGTTGGTTCGAACCCCAGCTCCGCGGGGTGACCTTGGGCGCGTGACTTAAACCCTTTGGGCCTCAGTTTCCCCGCCTGCGAAATGGGGGTAAGAATCACACCCAGCCGGGAAGGCTCGTTGACATACTATGGGGAGGCGCTCAGGGCTGCAAATAAGCTGCCCCATCGGTTGTGGTTTTGGAGGTGGATCTGGGCCTCCAGAATGAGTAAGATTTGTAGGAGAGGGTCTGGGGGAAGGGCGCTCCTGGAGAAGGAGGGTTCCGCCGGTGCAAGGACTTGAAGGTGAGGAAACAAGCCAGGTCCAGGGCTCGCGGGGCCTTGAAAGCCAGGCTGGGTGCCCAGGAAGGAGCCCTGGTGGGGAGGGTGTGCGCAGGGGCAAGGGCTGGAGGCCGGGCTCCTGGCCCAGAAGTGGCCTGACCCCGGCCTGGACGGCCTGCCTCCCCAGACAAGCTTTTCGGGAAGCGGCTGTTGCAAGCGGGGCGGTACCTGGTGTCCCATAAGGCGTGGATGAAGACGGTGCCCACGGAGAACTGCGACGTGCTGATGACCTTCCCAGGTACCTAGGCCACCCCCCCGCGCCCGGTGGCTCCGAGTGGGAGTCTGTGAGCGACCTCAGACCCATCCTGGCAAGACTCCTCATCTGTCCTTGCAAACCCACCCCCCTCCCCCGGCAGATACAACGGATGACCACACGCTGCTGTGGCTGCTGAACCACATCCGCGTGGGCATCCCTGAGCTCATCGTGCAGGTCCGCCACCACCGGCACACGCGTGCCTATGCCTTCTTCGTCACAGCCACGTACGAGAGGCGAGTCCCTGCCCCCGGCCTCCCGCTGACCCCGACACCCAGCTAGCTCCCTGCCCTTCCAAGCACCAACGCCAAGGTCCAGCCGTCCTGTGCTGGACTCTGGGACACCATCCCTGCCTCCGGGACAGGGAGCCAGGGTCTCCCCGTGACCCGCTCCCCCCTGAATCCCTGCAGCCTACTCCGAGGCGCCGACGAGCTGGGTCTGCGCAAAGCAGTGAAGGCGGAGTTCGGCGGGGGCACCCGAGGCTTCTCCTGCGAGGAGGACTTCATCTACGAGAATGTGGAGAGTGAGCTCCGCTTCTTCACCTCCCAGGTGCGCCGGCCCGGCCCCCTGCACCTCCCTGCACAGTCTGCAGGCGTTCCTCGCCGCCGTTGCGCGCTGTCCTCACGCCCTGTCCCCTGCAGGAGCGGCAGAGCATCATCCGCTTCTGGCTGCAGAACCTGCGAGCCAAGCAGGGCGAGGCTCTGCACAACGTGCGCTTCCTGGAGGACCAGCCAATCAGTGAGTGGGGCGGGGCCCGCGCCCACGTGTGGGGAGGTGGGCGGGCCTCTGAGAAGACAGCCTATCCCCGCGGGGGGGCGGGGCCTCGCTACAACAATTGGGCTGGCAGAGCGTTGGGTGGGGCCTGGCCCGTGGAGCTGGAGGATCCCTGGCCTCAGCACAGGGTGGGGCTCAGCCTCCAGGTGGCAGCTCCACAGGAAACCTTTCCTGGGTCTGGGATCAGGGAGCGGCAGGACCATGGACAGCGCACACTCTTGGACGCTGTGCTGTGCTGCCGGCCCTGGGCCTCAGTTTCCACTCGAGGAAACCAGCCGCTGCAAGTTCACCTTCTGATGCCAACGTGGCATCATTCCTCAGGCGTACAAAGTAATGCACCGAGGTGGCTTTTTAAAAAAATTTAAAAACATAGTTCCCCGCTGGGACCCCCATCTTTCTAGGTTTCCTGCACCCTTACCCACCTGTGCCTGCACCTCCCAAATTCTGGAGGAAAAAAAACCCCAGATATTCTGTGCACCCAGAACTCAGAACTCCTCCCCGGGGGAGAGCCTCTGCAGGTTTCAGAGCAGGCAGAAAGCCGTGAACACTTGGGTTTCAGCCTGAAGGGTGTGGCCAGGCACAGGCAGAGGGCCAAAGGGTCACCATTCTTGTCTCCCAACAGTCCCTGAGCTGGCGGCCCGCGGGATCATCCAGCAAGTGTTCCCAGTCCACGAGCAACGCATCCTGAACCGCCTCATGAAGTCGTGGGTGCAGGCTGTGTGTGAAAACCAGCCGCTAGGTGTGGCCTGGGCCAGGGGTTGTGCGGGAGGCCCGGGAGGAGGGTGGGGCTAACCGGGAGCCCCTCCCCGCCCGCCCCTGCAGATGAGATCTGCGACTATTTTGGTGTGAAGATCGCCATGTACTTTGCCTGGCTGGGCTTCTACACGTCGGCGATGGTGTACCCAGCCGTCTTCGGCTCCGTCCTGTACACGTTCACAGAAGCCGATCAGGTGCTGGGCGTGGGCTGGGGCGCCAGGACACCCTCCCTCCCGGGCCAGCCTGGATAACAGCTGGATCCTCTTTGCCAACCCCAGACAAGCCAGGACGTGTCCTGCGTGGTCTTCGCCCTGTTCAACGTGGTCTGGTCCACGCTGTTCTTGGAGGAGTGGAAACGGAGGGGGGCAGAGCTGGCCTACAAGTGGGGGACCCTGGACTCGCCAGGGGAAGCCGTGGAGGAGCCGCGACCCCAGTTCAGGGTCAGTCAGACGTTGCTGAGTCTGAGGTCTCCACGAATGGGAGTGGGAGGCAGGAAGCACTGCAGGAGCAAAGACAGGAACTGTGAAACCCAGCTACAGCCTCAAAAAGGGGGTGCCGAAGGGGATGGGGGGACACCTGCATACTCAGAGGAGAAAGGTGGGGAACGGGGTTCCAGAGACTGGGAAGGAGACTTCGGGTAGAGGCACCGGGAAAGCAAGGGCATGTTGGAGGGACACTGACTTCAGAGGATGGGTAAGGGAGTGGGGGGTCAGGGGCAGCCCTCCTGCCTCCCAGCTGGGCCTGGCCCCTGCCCCCACCAGGGCGTGCGGCGCATCAGCCCGGTGACGCGGGCCGAGGAGTTCTACTACCCGCCGTGGAAGCGGCTGCTCTTCCAGCTGTTTGTGAGTGTCCCCCTGTGCCTCGCCTGCCTGGCCTGCGTGTTCCTGCTCATGCTTGGCTGTTTCCAGTTGCAGGTGATCTCGGGTCCCCAGCCCCAGCCTGGATCGGGGGGCCGCCCGCCCAGGTCCAGCCTGAGCCTCGCCCAGCTGCCGGGGTGACCCCCGACCCCCCTCCCCCCGCAGGAGCTGGTGCTGAGTGTGAAGGGGCTGCCCCGCCTCGCCCGGTTCCTGCCCAAGGTCATGCTGGCCCTGCTGGTCAGCGTAAGTGCGGAGGGCTACAAGAAGCTCGCCATATGGCTCAACGACATGGGTACGCTCCTGGAGGGGAGGCCCCCGCTGCCCAGCCCCTGGGAGGAAGGTTCCCCATCCCCACAGGGGCCCCAGGCCGCCCCTGTACTCGCCCCTTTGACTCCCCCCAGAGAATTACCGGCTGGAGAGCGCCTACGAGAAGCACCTCATTATCAAGGTTGTTCTGGTGAGTGTCAGCCAGCAGGCGGGGCGTGGCAGGACCCCTGGGGACCGGGGACAGCAGGGTGACCGCTGCCTGCTTCCCGCAGTTCCAGTTCATCAACTCCTACCTGAGCCTCTTCTACATCGGCTTCTACCTCAAGGACATGGAGCGCCTCAAAGAGGTGAGACCCCGGCTGGAGGCAGCGCCCTGCCCCCACGGAGGCCAACGGGGGCCGGGCCTGGCCCACGGGGTCCCTGGGCTCTCCAGCCCCTCCCCCATCCTCCATCCTTCTCTCCTCTCTGTCCATCCGTCCATCCGTGTGTCCTCTCTGCCTGTCACCCCCCCCATCTGTCCGTCTGCTTGTCCGTCGGTCCCTTCACAGCTCCTGCTCGTCCTGTCCCTGTCCCAGAGCCTCGAGCGGCAGCTTCGGGCGGTGCTGTTCCCGCTCGTGGCCCTGCAGTTCCACCTGCTCCTCCTCTCCCTCCGGGGCCTCCTGCACCTGGCCCGGGCCAAAGTAGGGGCAGGTGGCGAGCCTGGGGGCCTCGCCGGGGCAGGCCGTGCCGCCGTGCTGGGGGCCTCAGGGTGCATGCTGCGAGGGGATGGGGCCGCCTTGGCGCGGTGCAGGTGGCAGCCCCGCAAGGCCCTGGGCCATGGCTGCGCTCCCAGGCGGCGCTGTAAGCAGGGTGAGCCTGAGCCCTCAGCAAGGCGGGCCAGGAGCTCTGTGGCTGGTCGGGCTGTGATTGGCAGGTGAACGTAACAGAGGCTGCAGAGGCTGGGGACTCTGTGTCTTCCAAAGGGTGGAGTTAGGAACTGGGTTTAGGGGAGGGGCGGCGTGTCTGGAAATGTGCTCCGGGAGGGTGGGGGCTTCGTCCCCATAGCCTGTCCTGGTCCCCTGGGCCCTGCCTGCCCCCCACGCACGCTCTCCTCGCCCCTTTCCCGCCTTCCAGATGCTGGCCACGCTGCTGATCACCCGCCAGTTCCTCCAGAACGTGCGCGAGGTCCTGCAGCCACACCTGTACCGGCGGCTGGGCCGAGGCGAGCTCAGCCTGCAGGCCGCTTGGGAGCTGGCCCAGGCCCTGCTGGGCCTGCTCAGCCTTCGGCGCCCTGCACCCTACCACCTCGAACCCCAGGCCAAAGAAGGCGGCGGCGGCAGTGGTGGCAGAGGGCGCCGCAGGTGTCTCAGTGGGGGCTGCGGGGCCCCAGAGGAGGAGGAGGAGGCCATAGTGGAACGGAGGCCCACGGGGGAAGGTGGGGAGGGAGGGAATGGATTGAGAGGGGGCAAGGAGGAGGAGGAAGAGGAAGAGGAGGAGGAGGAGGAAGAGGAGGAAGACGAGGACGAGGAAGAAGGTGAGGAGGGCGACCTCCTGGACTGCGGGCTCCGTCTGAAGAAGGTCAGCTTTGCGGAGCGGGGGGTCAGGCGTCGCCGGCCAGGCCCCAGTCCCGAGGGCCTCCTGGAGGAGGGGAGCCCCACCATGGTGGAGAAGGGGCTGGAGCCGGGCGTGTTCACGCTAGCCGAGGAGGAGGACGAGGCGGAGGGGGCGGCCGGCAGCCCCGAGCGGGAGCCCCCAGCCGTCCTGCTCCGCCGGGCTGGGGGTGAGGGCCGTGACCAGGGCCCGGACGGGGGCCCAGAGCTGGAGACGGGCTCTGGCAACTTGGCCCAGAAGCAGCAGCGGCGGCAGAACCGGTCCTCTTGGATCGACCCGCCCAAGGAGGAGCACTCCCCGCAGCTCACCCAGGCTGAGCTCGAGAGCTGTATGAAGAAGTACGAGGTGAGGCAGGTGTCCGAGGGTGGCGGCAGGGCCCTCAGAGGGGCGGGCGCGCAGCCTGACGGTGGAGGTCTTGGGGAGATAACGGGCCCTCGGTGTGAGCGGGGGCCTGCCCGCGGGGAGGCCCTGGGCCCCTGTGGGATCACCGGAGGGCGGGGGCCTCGGCAGAGAAAGGCAGGCGAAGGGAGGAAGCGCCCGGGTCTGAGCAGGCGCCCGCCCGCAGGACACGTTCCAGGACTACCAGGAGATGTTCGTGCAGTTCGGCTACGTCGTGCTCTTCTCGTCCGCCTTCCCCCTGGCTGCGCTGTGCGCCCTGGTCAACAACCTCATTGAGATCCGCAGCGATGCCCTCAAGCTGTGCACGGGGCTGCAGCGGCCCTTTGGGCAGCGGGTGGAGAGCATCGGCCAGTGGCAGGTGTGGGAGGGCCAGGGGCTCGACGCTGAGGTGCGCAGGGAGACGGGGTGCACCGGGAAGGAGCGCAGGCCCCGCCTGAGCCCCTCCCCGTGTCCCCCTGCAGAAGGTGATGGAGGCCATGGGCGTCCTGGCGATCATCGTCAACTGCTATCTCATCGGCCAGTGCGGGCAGCTGCAGCGCCTCTTCCCCTGGCTCAGCCCCGAGGCGGCCATCGTGTCCGTGGTGGTGCTGGAGGTAGGGCTGGGGGCCGGGTGAGGAAGCGGGGCAGCTGGACCAGGAAGCCGGGCGGGCGGCGGGCATCCCTGAGCCTGCCGCCTCCAGCCTCCTCCTTTGTCGCCTCAGCACTTCGCTCTGCTTCTCAAGTACCTCATCCACGTGGCCATCCCTGACATCCCGGGGTGGGTGGCCGAGGAGATGGCCAAGCTCGAGTACCAGCGCCGGGAGGCCTTCAAGGTACTGGGGCCGGGGCGGGGCTGTCAACCTCCTCGGCTCATGGGGCCATCTCCTTGCCTAGCTGGTGGCCATGGCCTCAGCAGGAAGGCAAGTGTGAAGGGCCTTGGGTAAGAACTAGCACTCCGCATGGACTCGATCCGTTCTGAGCATGCAGTCCCCGCCAGCTCGTTCAGGACCAGGGACCCGCTAATGCTTCCGGGAAGCCCAACCTCTGCCACATTCCTCAGAAATGAGCTCGCAGGTGTCAACCCTTGGAGCTCTCCAGGACCAATCCACAGAGCTCTCTATGGGGACAGAAGTGTCCTGTGTCTGTGCTGCCCGTGTGGCCCCATACACCTGAACTGACACTGCAAAAGCCGCCTACAGCAAGGGGGCTGGCCAGGGTGGATTCTGGTCTGTACCTGTCACAGCTCTGTCTTGGCTGGTTTTCCAGAAAGCAGAAGACTGCTGAGGCCCAATATTTGTTGTTTTTGTGTTTGTTTGTTTGTTTTAAATATATTTTGTTGATTTTTTACAGAGAGGAAGGGAGAGGGATAGAGAGTTAGAAACATCGATGAGAGAGAAACATCGACCAACTGCCTCCTGCACACCCCCCACTGGGGATATGCCCGCAACCAAAGTACATGCCCTTGACCGGAATCGAACCTGGGACCTTTCAGTCTGCAGGCCGACGCTCTATCCACTGAGCCAAACCGGTTTGGCCCAATATTTGTTGATACTCTCCCAGTTAACAAGACAGTGTCTGGCACATGGGTGGAGACAGTTGGTGGCCAGTAAATGTTCTTTATCTCCCCTCAGTTTTCAGGAAGCACTGCTGTAGGTCAAGAGATGCAGTGAGCACCCAATCCGTGTTTCGATCTTTCCCCACTTCCACTGAGAGCTCTCACACCCGCTCTCCCCAGTCCCTCTGATGCCCCCTCTGCCCACAGAGACACGAGCGCCAGGCCCAGCACCGGTACCAGCAGCAGCAGCGGAAGCGGAGGGAGGAGGAGGAGCGCCAGCGCCACACGGAGCACCACGCCCGGCGGGAGCGTGACGCCGGCAGCCGGGAGGAGAGCCGGGCCGAAGGCTCGGGGCTGGACCCCGCTGCCCCCGAGAAGGCCTCAGCCAAGGCCAAGGGCAGCGGGGTGGGTGGCCACGGCTCCGAGCGGCCCAAGCGCCCGGGGTCCTTGCTGGCACCCAACAATGTCATGAAGCTGAAGCAGATCATCCCGCTGCAGGGCAAGTTTCTGTCATCGGGGGCCACGTCCTCAATAGCGGGCGCTGGGCCCGGCCCCACCGCGCGGCCAGCCCCTGCCCAGTCACCCACAGGCAGCGACACCCGCCTGCCGGCCTTCCTCAAGTTCCTCAAGTCCCCGGAGACCCGGCGGGACCCCGAGCACAGCCACTCGCCGCCCAAGGCCTTCCACGCCAGCAAGCTCTTCCCCTTTGGCGGTGGAGCCCGGGCCGAGGCCGGGGCCAACGGGGTGGGCGGGCAGGGCCGGCTGGAAGGGACCCCTGGCGGCGGCAGTGGCGGTGGCGGTGGCCGGGCCCAGCGCTGTGGGTCAGCGGACGAGGCTGCAGCAGAGGAGCCAGATGTCCTCCGGCCGGAAGAGGAAGGCTCAGGTCACAAGCTTTAACTCGGGGGTGGGGACTCTGGGCTGGGATTTGGGGCTACGGTGGGGAAGCCAGGCCTGGGGAGCGGGGCTGAAGGGGACACAGGCGGCCCGGTCTCTGATCCCGGTTGGGGACCTGAGTCTAAAAGCCCCTCAGAAAAGACTGCTCAGTCTCCAGGACCCTCCAGTGCCAGGAGCCCTGTGCCTGACCCTCCCCACCCCAGGGAGGGATGCCAAAGCCCTTTGTCCTGGTGCCTTCCCCAGGCACCCGGCCTGCCAAGCTCCAGCAGAGATGAGGGAGGCCCCTTCACCACCTGGCCCAGCCTTCCCCGCCCCCCATACATCTCTACATCCAGCTAACTGGGGGGACTGGATCCCCCAGGCCTCTATGCAAGCCCCCACCCTGAAGCCCAGTGTTGGAGGAGGCCTTCCTGGATACAGGGCCTGAGGCTGCCCAACCAGGGAGCTTGGCCAGCTTGGCCACAGGCTGCAGCCACAAACTGAGCAGAGACCCAGGCCTCACCCCTGGCCTCTCTCACCTCACTTGTCCCAACCCCAGCCAGGAGCCCAGCACCTAGGGAGCCCAAGGGGTGAAGTTGCAGGACAGGGGACTTAGGTCTGAAGTCGGACTGATGGCACATGCTGCAGGCAGGACATAAACCCCAAAACTGATCAGAAGCAATAAGGCCCTGACGTGCCTAGAAGTTGGGAGGGGGAGCAGGCAGGGCCCTGAGTGGGGTCCAGTGACTGCGGGCGGCATTCTCCGGAACAGCCCCTCTCACCTCCGCAGGGACAGCGCTGGCCCCAGTGGGCACCGCGGCCCTTCGCACCCGCAGCAGCCGAAGCCCCGTGCCATCAACGCCAGCGCTTCTGCCCAGGCCCCCGACACCGCCCGCCAGCTGTTGGCAGTGGGATGGGCCTTGGGTCTGTGGGGGCGAAGGCACTGCCCCCCGCCAGGCCCCTGCCACCAGTGTGGAGTGCCCACCCTGTGCCCTGGTTGGGCCCCCGCCCGCTCCCCAGCCCCTGCCAGGGGACACCAGCTTCTACAGCCTCGCACCTCTGCCTCTGCCACCATCCTCTGAGCCCCCCGAGCCCCCCTCAGCCTCTCCCAGCCCCCAGGCTGTGTGCTGGCCCAGTGGCTGGCATTAGCCGGCCTGGCAGGGCGCCCTGCCTTCCTATTCTCATGCAATAGCCCAGAAAACATACTTTGGCTCCCATGGGCTCCTCCTGGGGCAAGGGCCTCGCCCCCCTATCTGCCGTTTTCCTTTTGACTAGGACGGGGGAAATGAACCCCCCAACAACAGAAAACACACAGAGCAGGCAATTATTTATTTGTTTTTAATTTATTTTGTCATATTTTTGTAAAACGGCAGAAATGCAATAAAAAGTATATTTCAACAGTGCCTGAGGACAGAGCAATGGAAATGGGGTTCACAGGGCCCAGGGGCTTGAGGTTGACACTGCCTCTTGGGGCCCCGTGAGCCTGAGGCGGTGTTCCTCCTATCTTGTAACCTTGGTGCCGCCTCCTAAGAACTGGGTCTGGAGGCCACAGGAAAAACTCCCAGCTGTACCACCTCTGAGATGGCCCAGATTTGGAGCGGACTCCAGGCCACTGGGAGGAGCTATTGAGCCTCAAGCCTGCTGAGTCTCCAGCCTCCCAAACAAAGGAGGAAACGACAAAGAGCTGAAAGAGCTCAGCTGTTTGGGTGCCAGGCCTGCAGGGTGACGGGTGATGCTGTCCCCTTTATCTGCTGCACTTCCTCGTACACCTACCTCCCAGGCTGCCGTTTGAGGAGCCAGGGGCAGCGGAAAGAACTTGGGGCGTGAAGTCGGGAGGCACCTTGCTCCCGAGTTGAAATGTTCAGGGGATGGTGCGTTTCAGAGATCCCTGGACAGAGGAGTTGGGGAGTGGCTAGGATGTCCCACTGCAGAATGGCTGTTAGACCCATCACTGGGACTTCCCTGTGTGGTCAGGGATAGACGTGGTCTCTCTTCAAGCCTCCTTACGTCCGAAGTCTTAGAGCCTAAAGGGGCCCGACTCCAGAGCTGGGGGAGCCAGTGTGAGGAAGGGGTACTGTGGAGGGACAAGAAAGAGAAATTGGGGTTCACTGGAGGCGGGAGATCAGCCTGTGCGAAGGCACAGAGGTGTGGGAAGGCCGAGTTTGGTGTCTGAGGGAGCATTGTAGGAGGGACCTAAAGGCAGGAGTGGGCAGCTAAGGAGTCCACACCCAAGAGATCTGGGTGGAGAATGGCTGTGGGACCCCCACTATGGATAGCAAGACACAAAGGGGAACCAGGGCCGAGGAGGAGGGTGCGGGTGCTGCCTGCTCCTGCTCTGCCCCATCTCAGGCTTTGAAGCTAATGTCCCGACAGCTTTTGTCACTAACAGCAATGCCACCTGCCTGCCCATGGTCAGACCAGCCCTTGGGACCAGGGTTCCTAGCGGGTCAGAGCGCTTCCAAGGACTCAGCCACCTCTGCACAGACCATCAAGTTTGCATTTCTGAGCACCTGCTTGTGACCTCAGGGACCCAACACTGAGCCCATGGTATGAACACCGCCCAGAACCATGGAGCAAAACCCCCTGGCCCCATGATACCACTGAGCGGCCTACCCTGGAACCTGGTGCTGGACAGCCCAAGCCTGAGCCATCTATCCTCCATGAGGATAATCTGGGGCACGCACCCCCTCCAGCTCCGTGGCCCATCCCCTCACCGCCCTCTCATACCACAGCCCCCACTCGGCCGGTGGAGGCAGAGCAGCCTTCCCCGGGGTCCCGGGCCCAGTGTTCAGGCCTCAAACCTGCCTGGAGCCTGAGCGCCCTATGTTCCTCTGCACTCCGCGTGCCTCTTGGAGCCGGGGCTCACGAAACCAGGCCGCCTGGGCTTTCTCCAGTGCCACCCTGCTTGTCACACGTCCTGGTGAGGGATCCACCACAGCTGTCCTTGGTGTGGACTGTCTTTGAGGGGTGTCCTGATCCTCGGGGACACTTGGCAGGTAAAGCAGGAGGGTGGGTCCAGGCAGGTCTTGGCTCTGAGCAAGAAGGCCGCGGCAAGCCCACAAGAGGATCCAGCTGGTCTTGGGGCCACTCCTGGCTCCTCTCGGTGATGATGGAACAACTCCCAGTGCCTCCATCCTCTGAGGCTGAGGCACATGGAGCAAAGACTCAACATCGAGTAGGGAAGATCCTTTTATTGGGGTGGACACTGAGCACGCACCAGTCCATGATAAAATGACTTAAGAGAATGATCCGAAAGGGTTGACTTCTTCCTGTGGCGTACTCTCAGCACAGGGTCCGGGCATGGCATCGATCCCGGTGGGGCGGGCGTCAAGGCCAAGTCTTTGAGGCCGGACCAGGGGATGGAAGCGGGGAGAGGGGCCCCACCCCTGTCACCCAGCTGCAGCAGGGCTTATCTCTAGACACTCGAAGACACACTCTGGTTCTCCAGAGAAGGACTGGGGAGCAGGAGGAGGGGGTTTGGGGTGGGGTGGGGTGGAGTAATGAATAACAATGTTTTTCAAGAAGCATCTACCAACATCACACTACTGGGTCTGACATCCCCTTTAACCATCGCTCGATACATTTTACAGCATAAATAAAGACTCAAGGAAAATAAATACATCGGCTCCTATGAGGTTGAAAGTGGTGTGCATGGCGGGGTGTGGGTAGGCGCACCAGTGGGGAGGGTGGGCAGGATGCTTACACACGGCAGGCGGGTGAGGAGCAGACAAGACAGGAGGCACCTATGGGGGAGCATCAGTCTTAAGTGTCCTCGTGCATGTCTGGGCTGTCGGTCCGTGCGACCTTGCGGGGAGGCGCTGAGCTCTCGCCCTCGAGGTCCACTTGCTCCTGGTCTCTCTTCTTGGCAGCGTTCTGGGGGGTAGGGAAGGAGAAGGGCTGTTGAGACATCGCTTAGGTGACTTCTCCAAATCCTGCTGCAGGAGTCACTGATACGGGCTTGGAGCAGGGCAGTAAACCCAGGGCCCTGGCTGGGCAGCCCCTCCCACCACCGTCCTGCCCCTCCCCTGGAGCTCTGGGCCTGTGACGGGCACTGCAAGGAGTCCCCACGGTTCACAATGACCACACGCGGCCCAGAACGTGCGGAGGAACGATGCACTCTGCTGAAGCACTGCGGCCCTGGGAGCCCTCGGAGGAGCCCACGCGTGGCCACTGAAGAGGAAGATGGTCCCAGTGCGGGAATATCTGCTTTCCCACTTGGGAGGATTAAAGCCTGTGCGGCTGAGGAAGGGGCCAGTGTGGGCAAGGAGCTTGTGTTTTCTAAGCAGTTACTTCATCATGGGGTCCCCCTTCCTCTTTCCCAGAGCAGGTTGCTACCAGATGTTCAATGTTGGGTGAGAAAACAAACCGAGCTTGTTATAAAACCACATGTAGAGCCCTGGACGGTGTGGCTCAGCTGAGCATCGCCCCAAGCACCGAGAGAATGCCAGTTCAGTGCCCGGTCAGGGCACAGGCCCGGGTGCAGGTGTGATCCCCAATAGGAGGCAGGAGGCAGCCGACAGATGCTTCCCTCTCTCTCTCTCAGGTCAATAAAAACATTTAAAAACAACAACATGTAGAGATTTTCAATAAATAAAGAGAAAAGCATCCTGCATATTAAAAAGGTAGCCTCGCCAAAACCAGTTTGGCTCAATGGATAGAGCATCGGCCTGAGGACTGAAAGATCCCAGGTTCGATTCTGGTCGGGGGCATGTGCTTTGATTGTGGGCACATCCCCAGTGGGGGGTGTGCAGGAGGCAGCTGATCAATGTTTTTTTCTCATCGATGTTTCTAGCTTTCTATCCCTCTCTCTTCCTCTCTGTGAAAGAGCAATAAAATATATATTAAAAAAAAAACAAACAAAAAAACGTAGCCTCTTAGTGGGGAGAAGAGATGACTTTCCATGGCAGCCACAACCTCTTGTATGGCCTGACATGTATTTTTTACCACTAAACAAACATTCCAAATAATCACACTAGAATCATTCTGCCGCCAGGACTGTGCAGGCTGCAGGCTGTGGGAGCTGGGCCTTGGAGATGCCTGAGCCTTGATACGGCTGGCCGAGCCCCTGTCCATCCCTGAGCATGAGCTCGGTAGCCTCTACACAGCCCACAGCCATTCCCTCCTCTGAAACACTGCTCCCTCTCCGGACTGCCTATCAAACTCCGATTCACCCCTCAAGACCCATGTCCTTCCCCAACTCAAAGCCCCTGTGCTGGGCGCTGTGCTTCCCTGAGTCCCAGCACCCAAACCCCATGTGCCTTACCTTTTTGTCCCATTGCTGGTGTAGGTAGCGCAAAAGGATGTTTGTTTTCTCTGTCACGATGACTGAGGAGGAAAGACAAAGTTGCAGGAAGAGGCTGCAGAGAGATGGCTGCAGACAGCCCCTCCCAGGACAGTGCCCCTCCCTCCCTGGCCTCCGGGCCCTCTCTGCCGAGTGGCCTTCCTGGCACTCAGTCAGTCCCCCCAGTAGGGAGATCAGGAAGCCAGGGTTTTCCCTCCTCAGCCCAAAGCTACTTCCAGGGCTCAGCCAACTGCCCTGGGATCCCTTTTTCTCAGAAAGCAGAGGCCATTACTGCATTCGGGTTCGCACCCTGTAGGGGGGGAAGCTCTGGCTGCAGTCTCACATGTGTGTCTACCCAGGCCAACCGGGAGCACAGATCTACAGAGCTGAGCCTGTGTCCACAGAAGCCAACCAGCTGGGTCCATGTGGATTCTTTCTCAATGTCAAATAAAACACCGTGGCCACGATAACTCCCACTGGCAGGCCCCGCGCCCTTCCCTGCAGGCCCCTCCACCTGAGCAACCCCTCCCCATGCTGCCCACCCCGTTGGGCTGGGTCCCTAACCCGTAGTACTCATTTCGGGTGTCATGGAGCTGACGTGGGACACCTGACTTGATGCCAGGCGATGGTGAGGGTCGGTGAGCGGTAGACGAGGGGCCGGATATGGATGCCAGCGTGTGGAGATGAGAAGGGTTGTGAGAAAGCCACACCTCCCACTGCTCCCGAGGTCTGGGAGCTGACCAGTGTCCCACAGACTCCTCCTGCACCACCCTCCACCCTTTCCTCTTAGTATCCTGGATGGCTCCCTCACAGAGAACACTTACTCTGTTCAGATGGGTATTCGCGCGTGGGCAGGTAGACTGAGGGGCGTCGATTCTGAGAGAGGGTCCAGAAGAGGAGGGTTAGGGGTGCAGGTTGACTAGGGTCCCCTCACCCCTTGACTCGCCATCCACCCTCCAACACAGATCAGAAGATGCACGAAGACCTTAGGTGAGGTCAGGCTTAAAGATCGGCCCCTGTTCCTAGTGAGGTGCTGGTTGGGGCGGTGCACACTACCCCCAACCCCCTCTCCTCCTGCTCCCTGGACCCGCACTCACCGAGGCTTTACACACAGAGTCAGCATGAAATCGACTGAAGTTGCTTTTGTTGTAGACTGGCAGTCCTTTCAAAAAATCTGCCTGAAAGACAGGAAAAATGGTAAGTGAGAAACCTGCAGGGCCTGCCCTGGAGCACCTGGGTGGTGGGCGGGGCTTCCGGGAACTTCCAGTTCCCGCTTTGTGACCTGATGTACGTTTCCGGAAGACAGGCTTGAGTTGGCCATCTGACATGTACACTGCAATAACCAGAGAAAAGCAACCAACCCCAGGGGAAGTGCACATTCTTCCTCAGAGTCCTTACAGCAGAGCTGTGCCTGGCAAGGGGTGGGGAAACTGAGGCTCAGAGGGCATGAACCATTTGTTTAAAGTCATACCAGAAGCAAGCAGCATGTTGGGGGTCAGACCATCCAACTGTATATTTGTCCTCTATGCTTGTTGAATGTTAAACTCCCAGTCTTGTCTCCGTTTATCCACTTTTAATAGACACCCTGGCCTGTCCACCCTAAGAAACCCATGGGCCAGAGTGACAATAAATGGGGGTGGGGACCAGAAGGCTGGGTAAAGGGGACAGGCTGCCACAACACAGAGCTGGATACCCAAGATTCTGAATTCCAAGAAAACTCAGAGATTTAACTTCAGTATGTTAGCGTCAGGTTTTTCCAAGTTGGCTGGACTTTCCCTAAAGCTTTGTGCAGCTTGGAGTCAGCTAGGAGCTGCTCCTGGGGTACCCACACCTACTGGCTTCCCCATGAGGAGGGGAGGCCTCCCAGGGTGAAGGCCAGAGACAGAGAGACTCAGCGCCAGAGGTCTCGAGCCCACAAGGTGCTGGGAGCCAGCAACAGAATTCATTCACTGCCCAACTCTTGAAAAGTCCCTGACACTCTAGGGTCAGCTGAGCAAGCAAGGGCGATGGCTCTGGAGCAGGAAGACCCTGACTCTGGGGCAGGAGGGAGAGACTCAACCACAAGATGGACAAATAAAGGTCAATGAGGGCATGTCCACCTCGGGAAACTGAGGCACCAGAGCATGGGTGTGCAAGGGAGGAATAAAGGCCAAGAGCGTGGGCAGGGAGTGGCTGCCCAGCGGAGCAGGAGTGCAGCACTGTCATCATGCCTGGAGGGGGATAGCCAGGAAGGGGGTTCCCACATGGCCTGCCCTGGGCCTGGGGCTTCCCGATCTGGAATCTCTACCCTAGGATGAGGAAACTGAGGCAGAAAGGTCACATGGCACTCATCTGGCCCCAACGAGAAAATGAGGAAGGCTATTTGAATCCAGGTTTTCCCAACCTCAGAAGCAAAGCTCCTGTTGTGTGACATGCCAGTAGCTCAGTGTTCCTGTCTGAAACCCCAGGGCTCAGAGTCCCAAGAGACTATAATAACCATCCGGGGGGGGGGGGGGGGGCACGACTAGGGGGCCAGCTTCGTGCAGCCAGACCCGGCTGTCTTCAGCCCCTACTATGTGGCAGGCCTGCACCAGGGCACTGAGAAGGCACAGCAGACTTGCTTTTGGCCCTAGGAGCACCCAATGCAGGGGACACAGGTATGACCAAACAGCGGCACAGTGAATGCAAAATGGCCCTGAGGACAAGGTACAGCGTGATGTGTGAGGCCCAAGACAGTGGAGAGTTCGTCTGCTGATCTTCAAGGGGGAGGGGGAGTTAGGGAGGGCGGCCGAGCAGCAATGACACAGCACGAAGACTTGAAGCATGAGGAGTGGTCCTTGCCCTGGCTCAAAGCCTCCCACGGCTCCGGCTGGGCTTGGTCCTCACTGGCTTCCTTACACACCTTCAGCCCATACTGTGCACCAACCAGGAATGCTCCTCTTTTCTCCGTGTGGGAAACCCCTGCCAACCTCTCCACCTCACAACCCCTCCTGCCTCTCCCCTGGCCACACACCTCAGGGCCCTGTCAGAGCCACTTCCGTACCCCAAGGAGGTCATCTGTCTACTTGTCCCCCTCCTTTGCTGGGCTGGCGCCCCCCTAAGGGCAGAGGGTATGGCAGGCTAACTCCGCCCTGAGCCTGAGGGGCTCACGTGGGGCCACAAGAGCGGTGAAGACTCGGGGGCCTCAGCCTCGCACTCAGTCCTGGCTGGGCTCCTCCGGGCTGTGTGATCTGGCAGCCTCGCCAGTGAACTGGGGGTCACAGCGGGGCCCCTCCCAGGGTTGTTCTGAGTCTCAATAAGACAACACAGGGAAAGAGCTTTGCACAGAGCCCCAGCAGGCACCTGTTAGGATCAATGCATTTGTGCTGAAATCAATGTATAAAGACAGGATTCTGCCTGCACTTCCTGTCTGCTTAGCTGAAAAACAAGGCCTCAGACACAGGGAGAAATCCTCACCTCAGCCAGACAAATCCTAGCTGCAGCTGGGCCCGGAAGCCATCCACTGCCTCAGCAAACATCCACTGAGCATCTGCGTGTCAACCCCCTTCTGAGGGCCCAGCAATAACCCCACCGAAGAGAGGAGGAAAGAAGTGGAGTGCAAAGAGAAGAGAGACACTGAGGCCACAGGGAGGTGCTGCTCACAGAGGGAGAACATCCCAAGCACAGAACAGCACGTGCAAAGGCACTCGGTGGGAGGGGCTTGGCGGGTAAGACGTGAAAACAAGGCGGAGTGGCCGGAGCTCAGGGAAGGAGTACAGAGAGTGGGGGTGAGATCACAGAGGTGGGCAGGGGGCCTGGCGGCTGGGGCTTCACCTGGTTCCAAAAGGAAGACCCCGGAGTCTTTTTCAAGTTAGAAAAGTGTTAGGATCTCATGTCCATCTTCAAAAAATCCCTCTAGTCTCAGGTAAACTGCGATCTGCCAGGGGGGCAGGATGGAAGAAAGGAGACCGGAAAGGAGACGCGACGGGGGCAGGAGATGGCAGTCCCGGGACCGCGTTGGGGACCCATACAGATTCGGGATGTGTGCTGGAGGCAGAGCCGGCAGAGCCCTGTTACAGACTGGGTGTGGGCCATGAGGTTGCAGTGACCAATCAACAACACCCAGGCTCGCCCTAGCCGGTTTGGCTCAGTGGAGAGAGCCTGTGCACTGAAGGTTCGATTCCAGCCAAGGGCACACGCCTGGGTTGCGGGCTCAATCCCCAGTAGGGGGTGTGCAGGAGGCAGCCGATCAATGATTCTCTCTCATCATTGATGTTTCTATCTCTCCCCCTCCCTTCCTCTCTGAAATCAATAAAAACATATTTTTTTAAAAAAAATCCAGGCTTGGCTTGAGTACCCACACTCTAGGAACCCACTTTCCCATCTCCTGCCTGACCAGATGTCTTCTTTTGCTCATCCCACACCACATCCCAAGATCTGTGATTTGTGGGCTGGAGCCCTGAGTTTTTGAGTTACCCAGACAAAAGCTTCCATCACCCCGTCAGCCCCGGGGATGCCAAACAGTGGCAGGTGGGGTGACCACCCCACTTTACAGGTTGGGGGACCTAACCCCAAAGAATCGCCATACCCAAATCCAGATGAGCAAATTGCCCAAAGGGGGTTTTAAATGCCCAACTACCGGGTGGCATTATCCCCACTTCAAAACGTGAAGGCAGGCAGGAGAGAATGACACCACCCTGAATCACACAGCTTATCTGTCTAACCGTTCATTGTCTTAAACCCTTTATGATGTCAACTCCCTACAAATTGTCACAACCCTATGAGGCCCGGGCTACTGCTGCTCACATTCACCAGGAAAGGAGTCTGGGGCTCGGAGAGATGAAGCTGCTCCCCCTTAAGGGCAAGTCAGGGCCCTGCATGGTGGAGGTGGGGTCTTGGGCTCTGGGGACCAGACCAGTCTGCGATGTCGCACTTCCTTTGGCGACAAAGCCCCGCATGTGTCACCATGTCAAGCCCCCTCCCCCGCCCTGATGCCCAGACCGGCCTCCCACGCCCTACTGAACGGGAGCGGCCGAAAGGACCAGGCTGGGGCTGGGGAATCTCCGGGGACCCCTCCCCACCCCCAGGCGATTTCAGGGGACCCGGAAATGAATGAGGTGCCCGGGCCTGGAATCCTAGGTGGGGTCGGGATCGGGGAAGCCAGGGAGGGGTCAGCAGGAAGCTCTCCGCAGGACCTAGGGGTCGAAGGCCATAGGTCAGAGAGAGGGGCGGGGCCGGGCCAGAAGGGGCCTGGCAGGGAGGTGGGGGGCGGGGGGGGGTTCGGGCTTTATTGGAGGTGGGTGGGCCCGCGGCGCCATTTTGTGGGGCGGAGGGGTAGCACGGGCCTGGCGGCCGCCCTTACCATCTTCTGCTTCCTCTGTCGCCGCCTCAGCTACTGCCTCAGCCGCCGCCGCCGCCGCCACAGCCGCCTCCTTAGCCGCCGCCGCCGCACAGTAACTTCCAGCCACGCTACAGCCTGCCCCGATGGCGGCGTCGCCCTCCCGTCATTGGCCCATCCTCTAGCCCCGCCCCGGGATATGCGGCCTCCGCGCGCTCGCATTGGCCAGATGCGGATAAGTCACGGATGCATTGGTTGCCACGCCTCTCTCCGTGGTCAAGTTCGGTTGAAGGAGCAGAACCCCGCCCGGGACTTGGAAGCGATAGGGCCATAAAATCCGGAAGTGGGCGGAGGCCGCACCCGCGAAGCCTCCTGGGATTTGCAGTCCGTAAGTCCTGGAGGTGCCGCCACTGTTTCCTCTTTATAGTTTACTACGCTTTTTAAGATGATGTCTTATCGGGTTCCCACAGCAGCACCAGAAGACGGGGGGACCGCCATAACACTCCCAGCCTCCCCGGGGTTTCGGCATATCTACACAGCTCCCGCACTAGCTCTTTGGAAGTCTTTGAACTCACAAATCAGACTTTCTTGTTCAAACACTTCCCATGGCTCCCCAGCCCCCCCATGGATCCAGTCCCACCTCCTGGGCTCCAAATTCTGAGCCCCTCCTGCCTCCCTTGTCTACCTTTTATCCTGAATCTGTCCAACAGCATTTTCCCCAAAGCTAAATCAGGAGCCTTCTCTGGGCTCCCATAGTCCTGACTTGGCTGTGTCCAGACTGGCTGGGTACAAATCAGGCCCCAACCACCCACCCACCCACCCCTAAAGTGACAACCTGGTGAGGACAGGACCCAATACATAGGAAATACAGAATAAGTTACTGAGTGGAAGCTAGTAAGTATTACTCTAAGAACACAGCAAGCTTTCTCAGACCCCTGAAAGTTGTGACATGTGTAAGACAAGTGACAATTTAGACATTTAATGATATTAAGGAATTACTGACTTTTTCTAAGTGTGAGAAATTTTGTGATTATGTTTTAAAGAGTCCTTATCTTGGAGAAATGCATTCCTAAATATTTACATAAGAAATAACACCATGCCCTAACTGGTTTGGATCAGTGGATAGAGCATAGGCCTGCGGACTGAAGGGTCCCAGGTTAGATTCTGGTCAAGGGCATGCATGTACCTTGGTTGCGGGTACATCCCCAGTAGGAGGTGTGCAGGAGGCAGCTGATTGATGTTTCTAACTCTATCCCTCTCTCTTCCTCTCTGTAAAAAATCAATTAAAAAAAAAAATATATATATATATACATATAAAGAAAAAGAAATAATACCATGCCTGAGATTTGCTTTAAAACAAAACAAAACAAAACAAAAAACAGCCCTAACCGGTTTGGCTAAGTGGATGGAGCGTGGTCCTGCGGGCTGAAAGGTCCCAGGTTCGAATTCCAGTCAAGGGCATGTACCGTGGTTGTGGCCACATCCCCAGTAGGAGGTGTGCAGGAGGCATCTGACTTTTGTTTCTAACTCTCTATACCTCTCCCTTCCTCTCTGTAAAAAATAAATAAAATATATTTTATAAAAAAAACAAACAGGAGGGAGCAGGATGGACTGTAGGTAATTGGTGGTCAGAAATGGGTGGGTACACAGCGAGGTTCATATTCCGTGGACTGTTGCCCTTATGTAGGATTCTGACTTCCTATTCCCCTTAGCAGCCCAACCCCAGACTTTTGCCCTGGGCCAACCCCACAACTGGAGGCGCACTCATGTCTGAGTCATCCAACCTTCCTCACAAAAACAGCGGCGGCGGGAGAGGTCTGGAGCGAGGGAAATGCTTTAATGGCAAGAGGCAGTCTCAGAGGCAGCGGCGCGCTCAGTGGCTCAGCGATTTTCGGCCCTTGAGCATGCGGCGAAGGATAACCTGGACGCCCGCCGGGGTGCTCAAGCGCTTGACCCAGCCGTGCTTGTGCTTGCGTTTGATGTTGCTCGGCTGGTACTCGTTCCCGCGTGCCTTGCCCCGGCTCGGCTGCGTGGTGGGGAGTGCCCAGGCATCGGGTAGCCGCAACAAGGTCTGGGGCTGGAGCCACCTGCAAGGGCAGAGAGACAGCGAGAAAGGTCAGAGGGGGCGCTCAACCTCTCTCAGCCTGGGCTCCCCATCCATGTAGACACTGAGCCTAAATGCAAAAGGCGCGCAGGAATGGCGCAAGGCACTGGCAAGTCGTGTGGTCGGTACACGGCTGGCCCCAGCACCCCCCCGATTCCAGCCTAACCCCCCTGAGGACTCACCTGGCATCCTGTATAGCCCTACTGACGGGACACAACTGGCGACTCAGGGATCTGCTCAAGAGAGCCATGTCCGGCCTCGGATCACGCGGCCCGTCCGCGTCGGCTATTCCGAAAACCGAAGGCTCCGCAGCTGAGGAGCGGAGGCTTCTGGGAAATGTAGTTTTCTCTAACCTCACTGCCGCGGGGGGCCTCCGAGATTGTAGTTCCACTTCCTGCGTGCCAAAGGCGTGAGCCGCCGCACCGCAGGTGTGTGTAGTTTCCTCATGTGGATCGGTAGGAGCTGGCGAACGGCACTTCTTAGGCTAGCTCTCTATGTCCCGCGGTCTGCTGGGAGATGTAGTTCCTCCCGCCCACTGGCCCAGGGTACTCCGGGGTGGCGGCAGCACAGCTGGTGACAGCTGCAGGAAAGGGCTAGTTGAGCCTCCCACGTCCATCGGGAGCCCGGCAGATGGTACCCAGTTGGCTGGCAGCTTTCGTCTGGTTGCAGCCAAGTCTCCGCCCCTTGGCGCTAAGCCCAGGAGGCCTGAGTTCGAGTTGGCTCATGTCCGAGGGGTGATCCCTGCTCCTCTCCGCGATCCAGTTTCCAGTCAAGTTGCAAGCTTGTCCTTGGCGGTGCCCCCATTGGAGCTCTAGAACTTAAAAAAATAATAATAAAATAAAATAAAAAAAATTTAATCCTCATCTAAGGGGAGATTATATATATATATGGAGAGGTGAGAAAAACATCAATCTGTTGTCTCCTGGAAGTGCCCTGACCAGGGATCGAATCCAAAACCTTTTGTTGCACAGGTTTAGAAGGATTAGGGTTAGAAGGATTTTTCAAATACTCAGATCTGTGGCTCAGTGGTTGAGCGAGGACCTATAAACCAGGAGGTCAAGGTTTGATTCCCAGTCAGGGCACATGCTGGGGTTCAGGCTTCATCCCCAGTGTAGGGCCTGCAGGAGGCGGCCGATCGAGGCTTCTCTCTCATGGTTGATGTTTCTATCTCTCACTCCCTCTCTCAAATTATATATATCCCCACTGTCCCAGGGAAAATGCTCTTCTGGCAGGCATGTGACACACCCTAACTTTCAGCCATGCCTTCCTGGTACCCTTCTATTCATCTTTTCTTTTCTTTCTTTTTTTTTTTTAATTTTTTACAGAGAGGAAGGGAGACGGACAGAGAGCTAGAAACGTCGATGAGAGAGAAACATGGACCAGCTGCCTCTTGCACACCCCCTACTGGGGATGTGCCCGCAACCAATGTACATGCCTTTGACCGGAATCGAACCCGGGATCTTTCAGTCCGCAGACCAACGCTCTACCACTGAGCCAAACCGGTTTCGGCCCTTCTATTCATCTTTTTTAAAAAACCTCTGATATTGTATCCCTAAATGCTACTCCTCTCTCTGGCCCAAATCTGCCCCCCACGTAACTCTCCCCACACTCTTCCAGAAGCCCGGGGCCCTCAAGGCCAGGCTTGGGGCTGAGTCCCTGCCAGCAGGCACCAAAGCATCTCCCAGCTTGTGTGTTTGCTGCAAGAATATTATCCCAGAGGCACTCTGAGTGGGCAGGCGTGGGTGGCTGGACCTGATCCAGCTCTGGCAGCAAATTTTAGGAGTTGGGAATGGACAAGAAATGGTTAACCCCTTGTCCTCTGAAGCCCATCTTACCCGCATTGTCATTTAACAAACCACTACAATACTACACTAGTACAGTAATGCCAATAAAGTATTGAGCGCTTACCGCGCTGTTTTACCTGCATAGAGAACGCATGGGGAGATTCATTGCATAGATACATAAATGGAGTCTCGGGGAAGCAACTTGCCCCGGGGCCATGTATCTGCAAAGGGCAGAGGGTGGATTTGAACCCTGGGCTCTCTGACTCCAGCTGGGACCACAGACTCACTGGTTAAAGTGGCCCATCTGAAGAACTCCAATTCCCTAATTCCCCAAAGAGCCAAGACTTCTGTTTAAAGGTTTCAGGAATACATTTCCAGGACTTGGGATCATACAAGCGTGGATCCAAATCCCGTCTCTACCCACCCTCCTCCACTCGTCTTGTGACCTTGTGCCTTGTATGCGCCTCAGTTTCCCCACCTGAAATTGCAAAGATCTGGAAGTCTCTACTTCCAGGGAAAGGTCAGCACAGAGCGAAGGGCCTGGGGCTTCGTTTGGAGGGGACAGGGCAGTTCGGAGGAGGCAGGGGCTGGCCGAGGGGATCCTGTTAGCAGCGAGGGGTCTCCAGGTCCCGCCGCCTGGAGCTCCTCAAGCACCAACTAGCGACCCCTTCTCGGCCCTGGGCCAGGCCCCAAACCTCCTCCTTCCACCTCTGCCAAAGGCCCTGGAGCCGCTAGGCAGTTGCAGCCCGCCCCCATCCCGAGATGCCGCTTCTGATTGATAGTCTAACTAGGGCAGGTCGGTCTGCGGGCTGCGATTGGCGGAGGGGCCCGTCGGTCGGCGCGCGGCCCCGCCCCCCCGGGAGACACTTAAAGGGCCGGTTTGCTCAGCAGCGGTGGGACGCCCCCCGCGTTGACCACCCTTCCGGACCCGCGCCGTCCCGCGTAGACGCGCCCGGCCCGACCCCGCGCCAACATGTAAACGGCTCCTGCAGGCAGACGCCGGCTCCTCCGCCCGGGACCCCTCCGCCCTGCCCCGGGCCCGGAGCCCTCGATGAGGTGAGCGGGGAGTGGGCCCTGCAAGGGGGTTATTGGGGCCCCACTCCGGGGCTTCCACTTCTAAAGGGGTATCCACAGAGTCCGCGCTCGGGTTTTAGGGAGTCGTGGAGCCCCGGTGGCCTTGACCCCGCCACAGTGCTGACAGGCACCCGGGAGGTGGGGGCCTGGCATCAGGGAGGGTGGCTGGCGTGGCGCATCGGTGCCCCCTCTGCAATCTGCGGTTGGGACCCGCCAGAAACAGGGGAGGGGGGGTGCGGCCTGCTCCCCTTCCATCAGCAGGTACGGGTCACGGAGGGCCTTCAGCGGCATGCGTTATCCCCGCAGCGCCAAGGAGGGGGGTGGGGGAAGGGTTGGTCCCATCTCCAGGCCCTAGAGACAATGGGGGTGTGATGTGCCCGTATCCCCCTTGAGTTATGTAACGGCCTATGGTTGCCATGGTTGCCATGGACACGGGAGAGACGGCCCAGGGAACAGGATGGAGACCTGGAAGCCCCTAGGCAGAGAACACTGCCTTCTCCATCTTCATCTCCACCATTCGGGGTTGTGCATCAGCTCCCCAGAATCCAGTGTTGGGGCCTCAGCTTGTCCTTCTGTGGAACAGATCCAGCGCCCCGTGGTCTTGGAGAGATGTGAACAAAGCCTCTGGAGCTCAGCCCCAAACCTTGTCCCCCAGGGCCTTACCCTTTCAGGAGCCAGATGTAGAGATTTGGGATTGGGGCATTTTTAGGTGCCTTCAGAGACCCACAGAACATGCTAGCTCAGGGACAGGGAGTTAATGAAAGAGTGCATGTGTGATTGGATTAATGAATGGATGAATGAATGGGCTTAGGAAACCATAACTGCCATAAACCTGAGCAGCAGGAGATCCTCCAGACTGGGCCATAGTGCCGCTCCCTCCCCCCCCAGGAAGGTCCACCTGACTACACCACCTTCCCTATAAATGCCTCTTGGACCAGCCATAGCCGGTCCTTCCTCTCCAGGATAGGCCAGCATGGCCAACCACCATGCAGGCACTGACCAGACAGAACATCTTTCTTTTTCTTTTCTTTTTATATATATTTTATTGATTTTTCTACAGAGAGGAAGGGAGAGGGACAGAGAGCTAGAAACATTGATGAGAGAGAAACACTGATCAGCTGCCTCCTGCACACCCCCCACTAGGGATGTGCCCGCAACCAAAGTACATGCCCTTGACAGGAATCGAACTTGGGACCTTTCAGTCCGAAGGCTGATGCTCTATCCATTGAGCCAAACTAGTTTCCAACTCTTTCTTTTCTTTTTTAAAAATATATTTTTATAGCTTTCAGAGGGGAAGGGAGAGGGAGAGAAAGATAGAAACATCAATGATGAGAGAAGCATCGATTGGCTGCCTCCTGTACAACCCCCCACTGGGGATGGAGCCAGCAACCTGGGCGTGTGCCCTTGACTGGAATTGAACCCGGGACTCCTCAGTCCGCAAATCGGCACTCTGTCTGCTGAGCCAAGCCAGCTAGGGCTTTCTTTCTTTAAAATTTTTTTTTTTATTATTATTGATTTTAGAGAGGAAGGGGGGAGAGAGAGAAACATCAATGATGAGAAAGGAAAAAAAAAGTGATGAGAAAGGATCATTGATTGGCTGCCTCCTGCACACCCCGCACTGGGACATGGAGCCTGCAACCTGGCCATATGCCCTGACCAGGAATCCAACCATGACCTCAAGCCCTGAGCCACGCTGGCTGGGCCAGACAGAACCTATCGGTGCTTGGCTGGGCCTGCTCCTCCACAAACTGGAGCCTAGACGGAGCCTCGCGGGGTGACTGGTGCTCCGGGTGTGGGAAGCGGGTGGTGAGGGGGCAGCTTCTAGGACCCCTCAGATGTCTTCCCCGCTCGCAGGACACACCATGCTGACCGGGGTGACGGATGGGATCTTCTGCTGTCTCCTGGGGGCGCCGCCGAACGCAGTGGGGCCGCTGGAGAGCGTGGAGTCCAGCGATGGCTACACCTTTGTGGAGGTCAAGCCCGGCCGCGTGCTGCGGGTGAAGCACGCGGGACCTGCTCCAGCTCCCGCCCCGCCCCCGCCCCCGCCCCCGCCTGACACGGCGCAGGGGGACCGGGCCGGCCTGGTGCGGTGCCAGCGCCGGATCACCGTGTACCGCAACGGGAGGCTGCTGGTGGAGAACCTGGGCCGGGCGCCCAGAGCGGACCTCCTGCTCGGGCAGAACGGCTCCGGGGAGCCCCCGGCCTCTCTGGAGGTGGAGCTGGCGGACCCGGCGGGCAGCGACGGCCGCTCGGGCCCCGCCAGCGCCGGGCCTGGCAGCGGCGGGCGGCGGCGGCGGGCCCGGCGCCCCAAGAGGACCATCCACATTGACTGCGAGAAGCGCATCACCAGCTGCAAGGGCACGCAGGCCGACGTGGTGCTCTTCTTCATCCACGGCGTGGGCGGCTCCCTGGCCATCTGGAAGGAGCAGCTGGACTTCTTCGTGCGCCTGGGCTACGAGGTGGTGGCCCCGGACCTGGCCGGGCACGGGGCCAGCTCGGCGCCCCAGGTGGCCGCCGCCTACACCTTCTATGCGCTGGCGGAGGACATGCGCGCCATCTTCAAGCGCTATGCCAAGAAGCGGAATGTGCTCATTGGGCATTCCTACGGGTGAGCCAACGCCCGGGGGGGGGGGGGGGGGG